CTCTTTCCTTCTAGTTGTAGAATTTCCACTCAGCCAGCCTTCCTGTGGTTCTGGATGATGTCCATTCCATCTTTTAGTTGTATTTTTGAAGTGGTTGTGCGAGGCAGCAATCTCCGGTGTTTACCTATGCCGCCATCTTGGTTTCTCGTCAGAAGTGCCAAATTTTAAACCCACTTGCCTGCTTATATACCAGAATGGATATTTGGTCACTGTAATATTCATTGCCATTATTGGTGATGTGACTGCTGCTATGATTTTCCTTCCCCCATCCCAGAAAACACTGAAGGGAGGCTAACTTTAAGGATTGAATTGGAAACTTAACAGTTTAATTGGTGCATTTTCCCTACCTTTTATCAATAGAAATCTAGGGGGGGCAAACAAAAGATAAATTTTAAAAATTTAATTTCAGATGAATTAAAACAAACAAACAAAAACCCCCAAAACAAGCAACAAAGAACTGCCACCATCCTAATCTCTAAACTTTAAAGTGTGGCTTCCAAGTACTATTTGTCTGGACTAAGGTCAAGGAGCAACTGAGAGCCAACACATGATTCTGAAGGTCAAATAGGATACAGATTTCTTCAAAACTAACTTGAAAGAAAATTTAAAGTGTATATTAATGAGATACATGAGCATGGATGGTGCACTGGGTGACAAAAGAATGTTGCAATAGAGAACCAGTTTGTACTGTGCAATGGAGAGAAAGCAAATCTATAGAAGATCAATTCCTACTCTATGGTCTCTCAGTGAACAGTCAGAGGGGAATTGGGTGAAAGAAATTTGTGGTGAGACAAGTACATTTTATTTAAGTCATAGTTCACCAAAAGAGAGCTTACAAATCTTAGTATGTTGCAAAGCTATATAAATAATTATTTTATGACAGAAAGTCATAAAATCAGTTAATTATACAAATACAGCACACACACACACAAAAAAAACACCCTGAAAATAAAGCACCTGTGCTTGGGAAAGCATGAAATAAAGTATCATTGTAACCATTTGTTTTCTACATACAATTCTACTTATCAGTGAAGGTTTTATTGCCACATTACATACATGCCAGGAAGTTGTAATTTCTTTCTTACTTAACAGTTCTTTATATGTCAATAACCAAATTACAGAGGAAATCCCTGATTTAACACCTAGTTTCTCCTATCTTGTTGACAGTCAGTCAGTTCTCCCTCTGGGTGCCACACCTCGCTGAGAAGTAAATGAAGGTGGGTAGTCAGTGGTCACAGACCCAGCAGTTGTTAAATAATTTGACTATCAACCTTAACAAATGTCCCTTATTTTCTTATAAGAAGTAAAACATCAGTGCAGTTTCAAAGGATAAAATATGTACATAATTTTATTCAAAAATTTATATTATGTTACAAATATGTACAATCTCAATAATAAATTAAAAATAAATGTTCGTATACATCATGTTACTCAATGCCATTTTTCTGCCTTCATTTCTAAGAGTTCATCCGACGCAAGGTCCTGATCATCTTCTTGCTAGAAAAACTTCTTTGGCAGCACACTGGAAATGCAAAGTGTTTCGGTGCCTTTGAGGAATGGGAAAGTGTTTGTAAATAACAGAAATGCTGAAGAGGATCACTGCAATCAAGAAGTGCCGATGAACATTTGTACAATATTTACAAAACTTCGCAAAAATTCCTTAACATTTTTTTCCTCCAATTCCTCACATTCTTTGCATCCAGATTCAGTTATAGTCTGCAAAATAAAAAGAAAGGATTAGAATGGAAAGTCTGGTATATTTTGAATCATACAGTGAGGTCTTGAGACATTAAAACTTGGGCATGTTAATATCATATTAGGAAGAACTGGGAAATTTGATGTGGGCTTATTTTTATAATGGACTAGAGGCCCGGTGCATGAAATTCGTGTACAGGGGGTCCCCTCAGCCCAGCCTGCACCCTCTCCAATCCGGGACCCTTCAGGGGATGTCCGACTGCTAGGGATCACAAGGATTGGGTGCTGCCCCCCTCTGTTGGCCTGGTTGCCCCTACCTGCCCACCCTGCTGGCCTGGTCACCTCTTACTGCTTCCCATGCTGGCCTGGTCGCCCACAACTACCTCCACTGCTGGCCTGGTCACCTCTCACAGCACTGCCCCTCCCCACCAGCCTGGTCACCCCATGCAGCCTGCTTGTTCAGTCATTTGGTAGTCCCTCACTAACCCCGCTGCTGGCCTGGTCGTAGGCAGCCATCTTGTGAGGGCATGAGGGTTAATTTGCATATTACCTCTTTATTATATAGGATTAAGGGCATTGACAAAAGTAAGCCATGTCTATCAGACTATGGATTCCCTACTTAGAGCCTTCAATAGTTTCTGCTCATCTACCCCCAAATGAAGTCCAGGCCTCCCAGCATGGCACATAGGCCCTGCTTACCTATTTCTTGCACATTTCCTCACTGTCTCAAACATTCTGCCCTAGGAACACTGAGCTCACACCTTTATCCCCACGCAGGCCATGCTTTTAGATGCCTCACTGCCTTTACTTCTCGCTCTGTCTGTTCAGCACTTCCTATTTCAACTAAGATGACTCAGCTGCTGTCTGAACTAGGAAGTTTTTCCTGAACCTGTGAGTCCCAGTGATGAGCCTAAATGTCCCACTGCTACATTCTCAGAATCCCTGGTGTGAATTCTCCCGTACAACGCATCGCATATTACACTGACGTTATGGACTTTTATGCTTTTTATACCACTATTCTTAAATGCTTCCAGGAGAGCATGGCCATGAAATTTTGTTTCCCTAGCATTTAGCACAGGGCTGTACACATAGTATTCATGCAACCATTGCTGGTTGAATTGAACTATTTATGTGAATACCACAAATCCTTGTAATTCAAACAGAGTTTCACTGATAACTAGAATATTTCAAATGTAGAAATCATAAATACATTTTTGAGATCAGCTGAACCATGAAACCTCTACCAGCAAAAAACAAAATTAGATTCAATATCCATTAAGCACTTGAAATTCAGATTCACCAGTATTCATCAAGCACAGATTCTATGCTAAGCACTGTCATATTCCATATAACGCTGTCCGATTTGATACCGAAAATAATCATGTCAGATAGGAAGGCAGAGGTATTAAATGACACAGCTCAGTTGACATAATAAATGAAATTCTCCATGTCCAAGTCTTTTGACTGTGCAGTCCCGCCCACTCCTTCCACTACATGTGTCACACTATGCCAGAATTGCATAAAAGAGCTGACCATTGATATTATGAATTATTTGTTGCATGACTCAGTCTTTCTATCAATAAGATAGAAACAACACATCACAAAGAGTATTTTAAACATTAACATATTCTTTTCATAAACACATTGAGTAAGTAGTATATGCCAGGCATTGTTCTGGGAGTTGGGATCCAGCACTGAAAAAAACAAAACAAAAAAACACAAAACCTGTCCCTTTGAAGTTGACATTCGAGTGGGGAAAAGCAGACAATATTCATTAAGTAAAATGCATAGTATGTCAGAGAGTAGGACATGCAGAGAAGGGGACATAGCATGCTCACATGGACTACAAACTGTAAAGGGGTGACATCACTGAGAAGGTGACATTTAAGTAAAGACTTAAAGCAGCCTGGAATTCTTAGGGAAAAATCCAAGGTGTCCAGCCACACAAGCTTTAGGCTCTTTGCACTTTGAGTTCCCTCCACCTGAACATACTGCCCCAAGTATCCTTAATGCTCGTTCCCTCATGTCTTTGTCAAATGTCAGCTTAGTAGGTAAGCCTTATCTAAAGTAGAGTCCCAATGCCTTTACCTGCCTTCTTTTTGGCCATTAGATTTAGTGAGTAACTGATGTATTATTCATTTGCTTATTGATCAGTTTACTTATGCTTCCTCCCTCCTTAAGATCAGGGACCATATTTGTCTTTCACTCCTATTTTCCTGAGGCCCTACAATGGAGCTCAAAAGTTATTTGTTAAATTAATTAATTATTATATCTTCTTCGTTCATAAAACTTCTTTCTATCCACTTGGCTTTGGCCTCTAGCGTTTTGCCATGAGAGCCATCATCTGTTGTACCTTCTGTTAGCTGATCTCCCAGCCTACAAGAGGAGCTCCCAGTGTTTGCCTTCCTGGAACCCCATATTGCTTATGTTGCCTGAGATAGTCTAAATTATTAATATTTGATACTCAAATTATTCATATTTTTTGTTATCCTTTTAAGCTTGTGTAAGAAGATGGACTCTGATGTGAAACTGCTCAGATCTGAATCCTGGCTCCCCATTTTCTTAGCTGCATGAATTGGAGGAAGTAAGTCAAGCTCTCAGTGCTCCAATTTCTTCAACACTGAAACAAACAAGGACAACTATCTCACAGATTTATTGTAAGGACTCAGCGAATTACCAATTAACCCCTAAAGATTGTGTCTGGTGGAGTAATAACCCAATATACATGGATTACTAGTATTCATACCAAACCCTTAATTGTGCGGAGTAAGGTCTACCCACTGCACCTGCTGATAAACACCTTGAGGTCAGTGACCTGACTGGTTCACCACTGTCACTCTAGCACTGAAGAACACTGCCTGGCTCCATGCAGTACACATGTGCTGAATGAATAAGTCAATGAGCAATTTAGGATCGTGTGCACACTAGTGATGCTTCCATTCTGGGTGCCACTCCACTGGAATTAAGTCCCCCTCCCTTCCGGGCGTCTGCTTGTCCATTCTATCCAGCTCATGACATCCCCCAGTCAAGCCAGAAACATCTGCCGTAACTCACCCCATTAGATGATAAACTGGAGTTTGTTAGGATGATAAGGTTTTCTATCACCTCTCTAATGTCCATATTATTCGACTCCTGCCAAATAACATGTAACTCCAGGAGAAAGCACTTCATCGCTGTGACTTTGCAATTGGGCTGAAAATAAAGTTACAAAGAACCACTTTGAGAAACACGTTATTTTCCCATTTTTCATTTTCATATAGATGCAACTTTGATTTTTTTAAAAAAAGTCAATCCAAATATTTCATAAAGAAACACAATACCCCTAAAATTTTTTACAAAGGAAGCAGCTTGATTTTTTTCTTAGCAGTGAAATTGAAACCAAAGCAAACTACTAACAAAGCAATCAAGGAGGATGGTGATATTGTACAGAAGAAAGAATGAAACTGGAAAACGTGGAAATCCTAGGTCACCTTTACTCACTGAGCACAGTTCCTCTGTATAGAAGGGTGAGGATACTGTCTGAGACTCTGAAAACACTGATATCTGTAGTGAAAGAACTTTTAGGATCAGGTGATACTGTTAACATTTGAAACAGTGGTAGCTGTCAATCATGCTATTCCTGCAAGATCCACAGTTTCAGAGGCAGATGGGATTCCAGGAAATTTATTAGAAAAATCAAAGCAGGGGTAGTACCTAGTTGGCCAAATCAGAAAGGTACCTTATAGGTAACACACAAATGTGTTTCCCACAAGGGTTACCTTAACAAAAACCTAAACTGCAAAGAAAAGAGGCATTTAATGAACACCTCGGGATTTGCCCATGTGATGCTTGACTCCAGGCATTGCACAGTGCTGGGACCCTGCAGGCCCTGAACAATGCTTACTGCACAGGTGAATGAAAGCAGAAACACACTCATGTGCCTGGCACTGGCAACACAGTAGTCATCCAGTTTCCCGTAGCCAACCACAGTCTGAAAATATTAAATGGAAAATTCCAGGAAAAAACAATTCATAGGGCATGGCTCTATGATCCTCCTGACATGTCGTCAGAAGGTAAATAGTAGCTTCATAACACTCCATCACTTCACTTCATCTGATCACAGAGGCATTGTATCATCTCACATCATTATAAGAAGGGTGAATACAGTACATTAAGATATTTTGAGAGAGAGACCACTTCATACAACTTTTTTACAGTATATTGTTATAACTGTTATTGTTTGTTGTTATTTATTATTGCTAATTTCTTACTGTGCCTAATTTATAAAATAACTTTAGCATATGTATTTAAGTAGGTACAGGAAATAATAACAAACTAGAACAATTACAATAATGTACTGTAAAAAAAAAGTTATATAAATATGGTCTCTCTCTCTCTTTCTCTCAAACATTGTATATATAGAGTTCGGTACTATCTGTGGTTTCAGCATCCACTGGGGTTCATGGAATATCCCTCATAGATAAAGGGAGACTAATGCATTCCCTTTCCCCAAAAACAGCCGCTCAGGATCAAAAGGGCAAATACTATCACCAAGTTGGTAGTAAAATAGATAATAAATAAAATCTATATATATAAAAGCCTAATACACAAAGTGTCCCCTCAGGAGTTTGGCCGACCGGGAATTTGATCACTCGCTATGACATGTGCTGACCACCAGGGGGCAGCGCGGAATGAAGGAAGACCCTGGCCAGCAGCCAGCAGCCCCTAGAGACCCTACCCCTGCATGAATTTCATGCACCAGGCCTCTAGCAGAATAATAAAAAATAAAACCACAGTTCAGAAAAGCACCCAGGTAACACAGCTAGAAAGTGACTGAGTCAGGATTTAAATCTCAATGTCAGTCTCAACTTCTTTCTACAACCCAAGAATTGCAAGGTTAAAAAAGCAATCTCAGGATGCTGAGAATTGGTGGTTAATTGACTACTGTCTACTTTGAATAAATGCAAAGAAAAATGGAAAGCATGCTGAAGCCAAAGGAGGGAGACGATTTCTGTGTGCACTGCACTAAGTGGTCGATGAATATCTATTTTTCCTAGTTTTTGGCTATGGCTTCCTTCCAATAGTACTTAGAAAGTCCCGGTGGGGGCAAACCCTTCTATTTCATGGAAGTTCTAATTGAGAAATAACAGAGAGGACTCACTATTCTGAGCAATACATGGCATAATTTGTTTTCTATGAGGTGAAGAAGTCAAGGAATTGTTTCTTGATTTTTAGTAACCAATCAAGAAAAGGACTAGCAAACATGCCTTGGGCAATGCCAAGGTATTTATTAACAAGTTCAATATTATTATTTAATTCTGATAGGTTTTCTGGGTTGTGTTTGTTTCTTTTCTCACAGAGAAACCAGCCAGGATCCTTTTCTGACTATTGTAGAGATTCATGCAAAATGTGAGCCATAAATGCATTTAAGCAATTTGTAGGAAATATGATTAAAGATGGTAATATACTACAGCACTGGAAACAACTGATATGTTGGGTACTCTTAAATTAAATCAGTTAACCTGATTCTTGTATTTAATTGCATCACAAAATTATATGATATATTTTGTTTGACATTGTTGGAAAAGGCTTTTATATATTGTATCAAAAAAGCATCTATGTAGCTCTTTGTTCCAAAGCCCCACAATCTCAACAATTACTTATAAAAATTCATTGATTGTATAAGAAAACACCAAAATTTAGATTTTAAAACTACATATTTTAGTAAATTTATAAAAAATATACTTAGACTTTGAAAACTGGAAAATATAGTAATTTTAAAACAAAAACTATACTCACATGAGCATCACTTTCAGTATATAAAGTGGCATCAATATGTATAGACTGAAAGGGAAGAAAATTAGATAATATAAAAAATTATGCACTGCTTTAGATGAGAACAATCTACTGACAACATTAAATTAAGCTTTTTAAATTAAATTCTTTGAGATAATTTTAGACTTGTATATAATTATAAGAGAAATTACAGTGAGACCCTGTGTATCCTTCACCACTGCCCCCCAATGGTAATATCCTGCATAACCACAGTACAAGATTACAACCAGAAAATTACACTGATACAATCCACCCACCTTGTTTAGATCTCACCATATTTATGTGCAATAAAGTGTGTGTATGTGTGTGTTGTTCTATGTAATTGTATCAGTGGTTTGTATTTCAGTTATTATATTTTCGTTTTTATAATTTCTTATTTGGTTCCTTTTATATAGCGTATTACTCTGCAAAGACTTCCTGATTTTTTCAGTTGTTTCAAGAATATCTGTAATTGCCTGTGGGTGCAATTTTATGATGTTGCTTGAAAATCCTTGTGTAATAATTCTGACATCTAATCCATGTCAGTTTTAGAATGTGTTGATTATCTTTTTTCACTCAAGTTGTAATTTTTTCTGCTTCTCAATATGATCAGTGAGTTTCAATGGTATTCAGGTACTTTGGCCATTACATCTGGAGACCTTGATCTTATTTAAATGTTCTAATTTAGCCTGCAGTCACCTTGATTAGGTTTAGCATGCAGGGTCTGACCTATGTTTGTGTGCTTAGATTCCAATGAAGTTCCGTTTTCAGAATTTTTGTTGTGCTGATTTGGAAGGGTGGCTCACTTCATGCCCCTGGGACTCCGTTGGTCCCTGCTGTGTCACCCAGGGGGGCAGAAGACACTTCATTAAACACAGTTGTCAGTGGGCTCCTCTTCTCTGCCCCTCCACCCTGTAAGCTCTATCAGCCCAGTGGGTGATGTTAGGTTGGAGAGGGGTTCTCTAGCCCACAGGCAGAGAGCCTTTCCCAGGGTCAGGCTATTCCCCTTGCAATTGCCCCAAAGATGTCTGGTTTCTCTACAGTGGTTAGCAAACTGCGGCTCGGCAAACCACAGCTCGCGAGCCACATGTGGCTCTTTGGCCCCTTGCGTGTGGCTCTTCCACAAAATACCGACTTCTGTGCATGGGCCATGAAGTTTCAGTTGCACTGTAAGTGAGCGCCCTCATGTAGTATTTTGTGGAAGAGTCACACTCAAGGGGCCAAAGAGCCACACGTGGCTCACGAGCCGCAGTTTGCCAACCATGGCTCTAGTAGAAGCAAATCTCTCTCTGGGCTGTTGCGACAGAGAGCTCTTCATGCTGGGCCATTTATTAATTGAATTCAAAGATAATTAGGATCCAAAAATTGTAAGTAAAAAATTTCAATTGAGGTTCTACAAGGCCCACTAATTTCTACAAACATATTTTTGTTTCAAGTGAGATGCGTTAAGACTGACAGCAAAACACAGGGACAGGGCTATGCCACAATTACATCAGATAGTTTATGGGAATACCAGGACTTACTTGAATAAGATTTTCAAATTTTTTCAAATCACTTATTACATCCTGCCAGTTTGCCTCTGTTTTTGGAAGGCTTGCACTGATACAGCTGAAAGCAAAACCAAAAAGTAAAGCATTTTGAATGAACATAATACCGTCTTGATAAATACTAAAGGCAAAAGAGCAAGCAAGAATGTTTTGTCCTGATGAGTGAAAAGATGAGTGTTAGTCTTGCCTTCATACATCAACATCCCTAGAGGAACAGAAACACCAAACACGTAGGACAACCTTGTGTGAATTTAAAGCTAATTTGGGGACTGACAAAGTTATGAAGACATAACATATAAAAACTGGGGGCAATTGATTACAATGAATAAAAACAGTACACAATGCGTGGTATGGCTCAGTAAATGTTTTTGAATGAATGACTATTTTTCTTTAAGTAGAGGTCCCATCAGACTTTTAAGTCTAATAAATAAGTAACATTTTTAAAATGAGCAATAATCACCTTCATATAATGATTTTGAATTGAAATGTTCTCTATAGTACATTAAACATGCCCCTGGTATGCTGTGCACATCATCGCTATGCTTGCAGCAGCCTTTTCCATAAACATGATAGACGTTAAGCCCAATCGAGGCTGAGTGATCATATACTTACTCATTTTGGTAAGACAGAAATTTTGAATCTGGACAAAGATACGTACACTGACCAAATGACTATGGGATGATTCTGAAAGCTTCATGAAAAATAGCTGCACCCTGACGGATTTTCATAGAGGCACGGACTCAACACTAATCCTTCTTTCGAGGAAGGTTTACCTGTGCAAATCTACTGGCTCCCCACACTGTGAGGTAAAGGCTGACCTGAGTCAGATTACAGAGCTAGAGGTTGGGTGCTTAGGCCAAGCGGCGCGGTTTACTAGTTGCATCTAAGAAAGAAGAAAAAAGTTAATCGGCATGGAAAATATGAATATTTTAGGAGAAAAAACAAAAGGTCTAGAGAAAGAAAGAAATGCTTCCAAATGAACTAGGATAGGGCTCAAAGGACAGGAGAAGCCAGTGTCAGGAAATAGATTTTTTTAAAAAAGTAACGCGATTGAATCCTAAATATCTATTTTGTTACTGCCATGAAAATCATGCAGGATATTAATAAGGAAGGTACTTTCAAGTGTAGTTATATACCAAAGGTCCATTTTATCTGCAGGATGTAAATACTCTTCGCAATCCTATTAGGATATAGAAAGGTTCAGTGTTTACCAAACCTTCTGAGTCTCCATAATCAGCCCTCTCTCATACCCCAAATACTGACTACCTAAGGTGTAAGGCGACTGAACATACACCATTTCCTAGGGAAGATATTGAGGAAGAATGGCAATTAGCATGATGATATTTATGCCTAAAGATAAAATTACCTCCAAATGAAGACATGAATGCCAGCCTCAGTTAAGAAATGACTGTTCAGAAGTAAACACAAATAGCACTGGATGGACGTACTCCTCAAATATGGTTTCTGGAAAATAAAATCATAGAGAAAATGATTAAATATCTTAGCTAAAAGGTGATATTTAAATTAGTAGTTTATCATATCTTTAAACCAAAATTTAAGAATTAATGTTCTTTTTTCAGAATTAATAAAACTAGAATGTATCTGCTTTGTTGCCTGCCCTCCAGCTTTGTTTCTTGTGGGCAAAATTCTTTAATATGTTTTTAATACATACCAATTTTAAGAAAATGTACAAATCTAATAATATCGCCACCAATTTTTTTTATTATCCTTAATCTCCTTCTCATTCTTCTTTCATTTTGAATAGTTCAACATATTTTATGCAGTATAGATTAATAACACAAAATACTAGCCTGGGTTTATAGTTCTAGACTAACTTCATGCAACTGTATGAAAATTAATTATAAATGAATATCACTTGGAGAACGAATTGGATAGAAATGGAAGTAACTGAAGACACTCATGCCATCATGAGAGCCACTGTATAATAATCTTTCTTGGTGATTTAGGAATATCACTTCTCTTGGGACCTCCCAGAATTTTGATACTTTTGTCTGCCTCTTTCATGTTGTCAAAGCTTTAGAATTTCAGATGGCAGTGTTGACTGTCACCTTAAGCACTAAGACTCTGTGATTCATTTAGTCTATGCTGAAGGCATGAGTAACAAAAACCCATACTGCACAATTCACTGAGGAGATATATATTTAAAGAACAGTAGAGTGAGGTAAGTGAAATAATACATTCACAAGCAAGACATGGAGAGTATATCAAGGTTAACAGAGTTAAAAATCCTATTATATTTACTTTCAAAATAAGAACAATCCATGTGAGAACAAACATCTGTTACATCCCAAGATCTCTAACGAAGAGTCACATTATGAAATATCTGAAATTTAAGTGACCTTTTAGAAAAAGTCCATATACTATCTTCATCTAATTATTCTTACCAAAATTCTCATTACTCAATGCCCAGATAAAGCCTTAAATACTGAAGAAGAGCTGGCTATGGCAATGGGTTTCCAGCAGCCATCCATCCAGAATACTTCCTATAATAAAATCCAGGGAAATAATGATCCATTAAAAACACAAATAAACTCTAGGGGGTTGGGGGAAGAAAGCAAGGGAATTAATATTTATTGAGCACAGGGAAGGTCAAGGGGGGTGGGGAAGGAGACATATGTACTACTCTTTGTAATATTTTAAGCAATAAAGCAAAATTAAATAAAAAAGAAAGGATAGAGATGAACAATATTATTTCCCAACTAAAAAAAAAAGAATCATCCAAAAACATGAATTACTTAAGAATAAATTCTGCTAAATAATGTATACAAGATCTCTGAAAACTACAAAATATCTCTGGAAGAACCAAAATAGGTAAAGAACAAAAATATGCCATGAAAAGATTAAATATTTTTTTAAATATCAATTTTCCCCAAAGTAAAAAAAAAAAATTATTGAGTACCTATTTTTTCTCACAGGCACTCTATTAGTCACTGAATATATGTATCACATTTAATCCTCACAACAATTGTTATGCCCAGATTTCAAGACCCCCAAAGACAGACCACTAGGGAGCCGAGTCCAATGCAAAAGCAAAGAGCCTTTATTCAAGCCCAGGCTTGGTCCCTCTACCTCCTGTACCAGCACAGTGGCAGGATGCAAGAGAGCCCCGAGTTTTGAAAGAACAAAGACTTTATAGGGCTTGGGGTCAGGAGGGTGATGGCCCACTCGGACTACTGATTGGCCAATTGTGGTTGGCTGAGTGAGGGCTGGGGGCTAGTGACGCAAGGGCAGGGTGCCGCTAGGGTCTGGTTACACAAAGACAGAGGGGTGGTCAGCATACTTTTGGCCTTGAGTTTGTTTTCCCTTGCATTCCTATTGGCTGAGATAAGGGCAGGCTGAGTAACTAATACATTCTGTGGCTTTTTCTTGGAGGAGGGGTTAGGGACACAGCTATCAGTCCTGTTCTGTCCTTTCACAATCCTGTGGGGTAGGGTTATCAGCATTTGGCAAGTTGTCTGGGCCCCACAGCAAATCTAAGACAGCCAAGATTAGAAACCAACCAATAGATGGGTCTCTCTCACCTCATTCTCTCTCTCAGAAAAAAAGAAGTGTGTGTGTGTGTGTGTGTGTGTGTGTGTGTGTGTGTGTGAGATCCATGTTGGTCAAAAAAAACACCTGAAAAGGTAAAATATTCTATTCCTTTCTCTGGTAAGGACTCAATGTGTACTATTAATATCCTATCTAATAAAAGGGTAATATGCAAATTAACCTTCACTCTGTCACAAAGATGGCGGCGCCCATAGCCACAAGATGGCGGCATCCAGTCCTGTCAGGCCCCCTGGAGTTCCCCAGTCCCAGTGGGGCAGCCGCTGAGAGCAGGCAGCATGAGTGGCCTGGCAGAATGCTTGCTTTGTCACCGTGGCAATGAAGGGCCTCTGGGCAGCGGGCATGGATGAGTGGGGGATGGGGGGAGGCACACTTGCATCGTTGCAGGACAGGCTGAGGGACACCCCCCCACACACACAAATTTTGTGCACCGGGCCTCTAGTATAATTATTATCAATGATAGTAATATTAATTAGGCTACATATTGCTTACCTAGTGCTCTCAGATTTATTTATCTATTTATCAAATAATTTATCTCAAAATTATTTTCATGTACATTATCAAATTCAATCCTGGCAATATTGTTATGTAGAAGATAGTATTTTTATTTAACAGTGAAGAAACTGAGGCTCTGAGAGATTAAGTAGTTTGCTTCAGTTAAATGTCATACATGTGGCCATAAAATATGACCTCATATTCCAGGTTGGGCAGGAGGAGGAGGCATGCAAGGAATTTCACAAATTCTGTGGTTGGGAAGTGTAGGCTCCTTACTGTAGGAAGAACCTGACCCACTCCAAGCTAATAATAAATAAAAAGCCACCGTCTCTGCTGGCATAAAAGCAGGTCTTCCAAAGTAGAACTCAGTTCTCCCACAGGCCTTATCTCGTTTGACTCTCAACAAAAACCTGTCAGAGAGAAGTGTCTGAAACCAGGTTCGCTACTTTACGAAAGGCAAACAGAGGGATGAAATACACTGTCCACTTCCTTTGCTGCCATGTTTTTGGAGAACTACAGAAGAGTGGTTAAGCCTGGCATACAAATTGCATGTGGTCATAAAATGCCCTTTTAATCAGCATTTTTTGTTTGTCCTTCATTCACCTGGGTGCCTGCATCTGGGAATTAAAAGAAGACTAAGTCCTAGCACAGGGGTGGGCAAACTTTTTGACTCGAGGGCCACAATGGGTTCTTAAACTGGACCGGAGGGCCGGAACAAAAGCATGGATGGAGTGTTTGTGTGAACTAATATAAATTCAAAGTAAACATCATTACATAAAAGGGTACGATCTTTTTTTTCTTTTTAGTTTTATTCATTTCAAACGGGCCGGATCTGGCCCACGGGCCGTAGTTTGCCCACGGCTGTCCTAGCCTGACCCTCAGAGAGCTCACAGAGTTTAAACAGGAAGTTTTGGCAGTCCTGTGACTTGGTCTCCCTGCACAGTGCTTGTTTACCTGATGACCGGCACTGCTAGCCTAGCAGGATGTTACTGCCCAGGGGTAAACACAGGAAGAGTGGACAGGCATATCAACACATCTGGCCAGTTCTAAGAGCTTTAATTCTGGAGTAACTTGTGAAAAGAGCTGTAAATATGTTACCTTCTATACGAATATTGTAATTTATCCCACTGAGAAAATATATCTAACACATGACTGTTTGCTTTATTTTATTCTCTTCGTTTACTTGCCTAGTTGCACATGTAAAATAAATTTTCATAGACTTAAGATCAAAAGAAGAGTTCTAAATATTAGTTTATACGGTAAAGACATTTATATATTCACTAAAACACACTGAAAGTGAAGGCAAACCAAGATTGAATGTGCAATATAAAGAATGTAAGGGAGTGTAGCTGTCCTTTATTGGAAGGTGGGCCGATGTGGAGGTGTAACTTCTCAACTCTGGCTTTGATTTTCCCAGTTACTTAGGCCTAACAGTCATCAGCAGGGAGTGATGATGGAGAAGAGGTGTTAGGGGTTGAAGACAGAAGAGAATGAAAGAAATCACCATCAAGGTAAGAAAGAGAATAAACTAAAATAAGTATGGGATGAGAGCCATGCCTATTGGAAGTTCATGGTCATGAATGGAGGTAAGATTAGTGTGTGTGTTCTCCAGCCATATTAAGCTGCAAGGAACAGTTAGGCCCGGAATAGGTAGAAAACTGGACTGAATCATAGCTGTGTATGTCAGACAAGCACAAGAAAGAGGCAGGGATTGTAGCAAGTATGTTAGGGGATATAAGGGAACTACATCCATGGAATTTTCTTTTCTTTTCATTGTAAAAATTCTTGGAGGAAGTGTTATTGGAGTCACACTGTAAAGGATGGGCAGATTTTAGGCATGAGTTTTTAAAAGGAAACAACATTCTCGTTGGAAGAAAGAGCTGAGCATGAACATACACAAACCAGTGCAGTGTGTATTCAGAGAAAAGTGAGTCATTTGATAACAGTCTGAAAGTGGTGGCAGGTAAGTGGACAAATCTGTTGCCCCTGTATAAAGCAGGAACTGGTAAACATTTTCCCTAAAGGGCCAGACAGTACATCAGGATTTGTAATAATAGGCCTGGTAGGGTCTGTCTTGAGGATGTCACTCTGCTATTCCACTGTGAAAACAGCCATAGACCACGCATGAATGAATGGGTATGGCTGTGTTCCAATACAACTTCATTTATCAAAACAGACGATTGGTGAATTTGACCCACAGTTTATAGTTTGCAGACCTGTGACTCCTGTGGATCTCTTAATCAGTCCCATTGGAATACAGCTGAGAAACTGACATCTTCAAATGTCTCAGATTTTCCTGTCTCTCATTAAGGGAACTAGCATTTTTCAGTAATTGCTTTCACACTACTTTTAATTGACACCAATATTATGAAAATGTCATACATAAGATTTTGTGACACAAT